GAAGAAGAAGAAGAAGAAGAAGAAGAAGAAGAAGGAAGAAGAAGAAGAAGAAGAAGAAGAAGAAGAATTGTATCCAGATCATATGACTGCAATAGAATTTGCCAATTGATGGGAACAATTTTGGCATAGCATTTAGAAAATGAGAACAACCACCCAAGACAGGCTAGATAGAAATCTTTGTGATCCTCAACAGTGTTGAATCCTCACCAAAACTAGGAATAACAAGGCTTGAGTTAGAAGATAATCTTCAAAATCCAGTCTTGTAATTTATCATTTGAGTTTAGTCAAAACATCAACCTTTGCTGAGCCTTAATTTCTCAACTGATGATAGTTAAGAATAACTAATATCTACTCAACCTACTACACAAGGTGGATGACAGCAACAACTTTTCTGTGTAAGGAGAAGCGTAATACAGAGAGGTGGCAAGATATGGTGAGCAGAAGATACGTGTTGAACTAGGAAAACCCAGGTTCAAGTAGGTACTATGGGCAAGTTACATTAGGCATGTAATTTAGCTTTACAGAGCTGTACTTTATTACATGTAAAGTTGTGTAACAGCTACTCTGTAATATGGAAAGGCTAAAGGTAGTGATAAAGCATTATAAATTCTCTTCAAGTGCTAATTATTATTGTTGTTGTTTAAAATGAAATTATGGATATTGTGGCAAATTCAGAAATATAGATTACATATTGGCAGTTTGCCATACTGAGGCAAACTTATATGTATATCTTGTGATGTGTTTATAGTACACATATGTTTACGGTATGTAAAAGATAATCTATGTAGACAAAACAAATACCATTTAGAGGTTATATGTAACATATGATTTGAAATTTAAAAGATATTATTAAATCTATCTTTTCTATATTATATTACTAGGTTCATCAATAGAAAAGTCCCAATCCTAGGGAATCCTACAGAAAAAAGTCTTAGAAAAATCTGCTCAGATAAGAAAGACATCAAGGGGTTTCTTAAGTCATGAATTCCTCAAATTATTAGCTGTTTCTAAAAGTTTAGCTGTGAAATATATCAGCAAATTGTAAGCATTTTAGTTTATAGAATTGTTTTTAGTGTTAACATCTAGGTTTTGAAAGCAAACCAAATTTCCATTGGGATATTCAACTTCAAATGGATGAGGACAACATATGAAGGAGCTAATGTCCTCCATGTTGTATAACCTTACAGCATCATAGCATACTAATTTGCCTTGAGTAATTGTGTAACTTCATTTATTCTAAAGATTTCTAATGCATTTAGGGTCATAGACTATTCTGGAAAAAAAGAGAAGAGAAAAGGAGCCTAAAGCTAAGGTGACCAACCATCCACTTTTTGGAAACTGGAGATCCCCAGTGTACCAGGCCTTTCATGTCAAAACTGAGAAAGTTCTGGGCTAACAAAAGCAGTCCCTCTAAAGGCTCAGAGAATCTTCAGCAGGTTTTTGAAACTAGCAGTTAATTGGTAGGTTTCTCACCCTGACTAACTATATAAGCTGATACCTATGAACTAAGTAACTGCACTGAATAGGAATGTGTAATGGTAGGGTCATGCTTGGAATGCCTGTCATTCTGGTCTTCTAAATACATACTGCTGGTCATGTCATATCTATTACTGCTTTACTGTCTCTCAAGTACATGTTTGTTTTAAAGAAGGGTAATAAATGAAAACAAGAGACAAAAAAAGTCATAGGACTGTCCTGCTACAATACTGTATATTGTTAGATTTCTAAATTTCTGTGTAAAAATATGTAATCATTTATTCCAATTTTAAAAAACATTTTTAAATTTATTTTTCCTTTTTTTCCTTCACATTCTGTAGAGATTTAAAGTTTAACATATCAATACTTGATGGAAAATACCTCTTCCATGCTAGTCTAAGATGTCTGATATTCAGACAGTGAGCTTAAGCTCAACTGCCTATTTTATAGAGTAATAATATCATCAAACTTGCCTTCTGGAGGGTTAACAACTTAAGTTTGCAGACCAAAAATTAGAGAAAAAGAAGGGCTACAAGGACAGCCAACATTTTGGCCCTAGCCTTTCAAGGTCAGTGAGGACTCAGGACATAAGAGAACCTGTATGGACATCCTGTAACTCAGTGATGTCCCAAATTTTCTGATCAAGATTATAGGGCCACAGAGGAAAGTGATCAATGATGTAGACTGTGCCTAAGGAGAGGCACATGGAGAGAAAACACTCCCTCAGGCTTTCATGGAGAGCAAATTGGTCAAGCAATGGCCATGACTCATCCACATAGCTGAAACTGACAAAGGATCTACAAACTGCAATACAGGATTTCAGGCTAAATCCTGAGGAAATTTGACTGACCTTGTCAGATACAAAAGTTACATTTCTTGTTATATTGGTCTGGCTTTATCTTGGTCTTAACCACCCGGCAGAAAAGTGTAATAACCAGGTATGAAAAGTAAAGCCATATTATTATGCTGAGCTATAAAGGGCTCAAGTCAACAACTTCTGACATTGCCAGTCCTACGGATAACCCACTACTATTATGGACTACTGGACTATATTGGATTATTTTGCTGAATTCACGCACCTACTATATTTAAATGGCAATGGAATATCCATCTCTGACAAAACTGAACAAAAAAGAAGACACAAATGAAGGACCATTTTGTATCTGTATATACAAAATAGTTAGGATAGATATACAGCTACATTTTCTTAATTCAATGAGAAGAAAGATTTGTACTAATAGTATTTGGACAGGGCATCATGTTTACATTTTGTACTATGAATAACCACAACAAAGACAAAATATGCAATGTATTAATTATTGAAACTGTCCTATTAATCGGTTTTGAAATTGTCTCATTGCTTTGTTTCTCAATAAAGTTAATAATAAAAAAGAATTTAGAGGACTTAGAACTGGATAAAAATAAAATAAAATAAAAATAAATACCTCAGAGTATGTCTTAAGCTTCTATCTCATTTTACCTTTTAATTTATCTATTATATAATTAAAACAGATGTTTGCCTCTGTTTTGTGAAGAAGGATGCTAAGGTTAGGAATATAGACAAGCATTTCCTTCTATTCAAGTAATGTATCTCATAAATTCACTCATGTTTATGCCAATAATATATGTGGTGAGGTAGAAAGTAGAGGTGGAAAGATAGTAAATGAGTCTACACAATCATTTATAACTCATTGATTGTTCTTCTAAATGTTGTTTTTAGGCCTAGGAATAGGAGTGAGAGTCATGTATTGCTTTTGAACTGTCCTGTAGTATAGGTGACTGAGCTTAAATCACTTGCCAATAACAAGTAACCAAAGTGCCATACCAGACTAAGTGGCCAAAGCAGGGCTAGATTGGGCACAACACAGATGACCACAAGCAGAAAGTGAAGAGTTGGTACCTTGAAGCTGTGCTAAAGGGGATCTTTGGGCAAATCTGTGGAAGTCAACAAAACATCTTTTACAGTAACTTTGTACAACATAGTCATTAACAGAAATATGTGATTACTCAATAGCTGAAATGTAAGGAGTATATTGCATGCCATGTTTCAAAAATTTATTGTTAAAAAAACTCCATAATAATTTATATTAATTATTGAAATGATCATGTTTTGATATACTAGGTTAAATTATGTTATTATAATTGGTTTTATCTTGTTTTTAAAATTTTTGACTATATGTTTGCTGTACATGATTACATTCCTTGTGGAGTTGGTACATGCACGTAAGACATCCTCGTTCCTTTTCATCCTCTTTCTCTCCTTATGCCCAACTCTTGATCTCCTTCCCATTTGAAAAAGATTTGTCTTCCTATTTCACATTGTCCACCCTTCATTTTGCTCTTTTTTATATGTTGGGCTTCTCATGTAAGAGAAATCATGAAATATGTATGCTTGGGTACCAGATTTAGTTCACTTAGTATTATACGCCAAGGTACATCCAAGTTCCTAAAAGTGACTCTATATTTATTTATGACAGAGTAGTGGTCTACTATGCATAAATACCACATTTTCTTTATCCAGTCATCTATTGATGGCTGAAAGGACTAGGCTGTGTCTCAGTGGTAGAAGGCTTCCCAGCATGTGTGAGGCCCTGGGTTCAATCCTGGTACAAAAAAAGTTAAGTATTAGCCAGACAAAGACATTCTTCCTCAAGGGCCATGAAAGTAAATGTACAACACAAAAACAATCCTCATGAGGGTTCACTAATAGAAATGGCATCTCTGACTATTTTATTCCAGTTACATAAAGTGGTCAAAAGGCCAAAAAGTATCTCAAATTTTTAGAATGTGCTGGTGCTTTATCAGATAGAGAGATACCTTATATTAGGGTCTTTAGTTATTATTGGAAAATATAAATAGTTATATTTGGCTATTAAATATCATAGACAAGTGGTCTCCAGTAAAGCATTTTCTAGGTCCTGGGGGTAATCAAAGAACTAAATATGACTAGTTTTTTTTACAGCAATCAGACAATGATTTAGGCATAGAACACCAAGAATATATGAGATTGCTTCACCAGAGAGCTCCCGCTTAGGGTGACTGCTCATATGACTCCTCTCAGACCCTTGAACCGAGAGTCTGCCCACAGTGAGGCAAAGGCCAGTTTGCCTCTTGTGCATAGTCAAATAGGAGACTGGAGCTCTTACTTGAGGGGTTTCAACTTTACTGCTAAGGTAGTTCAGAAAATCGACTGAAGAATGGATTTCTTTCATAGCCCTAAATAGCTGCTAAATTTCTGCAGTGTCTTTAAGTAAGGTATTATAAATGTATTTCAGGCAGGCAGGGAAAAAATGAACTGCAGTATTATCATTCCTCCAGTGAAATCCCTTTACAAACTCTAATTAATCTTTTTCCAAGAAAAGTCATGGGTATACAGTTGATCTTGATGGTCTCACTAAGGGCCATTCATTTTTTTCTGTCTTACACAGCAAAATCATTCCGGATGAAAGATTATTGGGTTTTTTGTTTTTGTTTTTGTTTTTTAATGAACACAACAGATTCTGTGTGTTGAGCTGCTTCTCGATGTCACAGTCCTTTCTGCCTGCAGAAGAATCAGGGCTCTTTTCCTCTCTTAGCAACACTGAGTCACACCTTGAGGTACAAAAGGCACATTCTTAAAACATACACAAAGACAAGACAGGCATAGAGCCATCACTCTGACCCAGGAGGGTGACCCAAAGGCCAGCGTTTGTGCTCATTTGTCACATATAATAATCTAACATTAGTGCTAGTATTAAAACTACATTTCATGTCTTACAAACTCTGCATCATCCAGACATGATAGAACAAAATTATGTCTAATTCTCAAATCAATTCCTTGTCTGAGTCCAGAAATCATCATTTTCTTCCCAACAGAAAAATAAAACTTACGCTTTGAGAACAACCACAAAGCTGTATCCAATGCACATAATCCCCACCAGAAAATAGGAGAGCGGCAACCTGAAATTCAGCCATCCAATCGTTCGTTTATTGTCGTAATAGCCATAAAAGAGGACGGAATATTGTGCCAAGCCCTAAAATCCAACAATAAAGTCACTTAGCAGATGCCATGGAGAACAACTCAAAAGAGAAGACAGACTCTTAAGAGGAATAACAAAAGGACATTAAATTTTAAACTTGGGTCATAGCTCTGACATGATCTCTGTTGTTTTGTTCCATCAAGCGAATGTTTCAGCTGCCACGTTGACTGGTAACCCCTTGATTTACTTAAAATTCAGTGCTTTTTAAATGAACAAATTTTTCAACCAAATACAGGTTTGCTCAACTGTGGAAACATTAGCATGAAATGCCCCTTGATATAAATGTCAAAACAAATATCATAGTATCCATTTAAGAACATGCTTGATATGGGTGAGGAATGATGTGTTCTAAAATGTGCTTCCTCTGAATGCTGGGGCAGGTGAGGCTGGTTCTCCTTAGCCACAGAGGGTGAACCTCAGCTTCTGCTCAGCAAAAATGGTGAGCAAGTGAGAAGACTCTAGAATGAGTTTGCATGATCTATTTGTCAAGACCATAATCGCATTCACTCATGACAAATACGCTCATTGTGCGTTGTGCTCTCCTTCCTAAGAACTTTCTTCTAGGATTGGAATCATTTCCCAAAGCCACCCACATCGCCTCTTTTTGCATGCAGAATATTGGCCTTATGATGTTTCCTTTTTGATACTTATTGTTCTCTTTCTCACACTTGCTGCTGTTCATTCTGAGAATCGAAGAATTGTCGCCATAGTGTCACAAAACTTTTCCCCTGTTCTCCTCTGAAAATCACTTACAATCACACTGGGTATCAGCCACTTTTCTCATCACTGGTCACAACACCCACCATTCACAACTTGATGGAGAAAGGAATAAATGAAGCTAATGGTTTGGGTGATTGAGTCCATAATAAGCTGACTGCGAGCCAGGAACATCACAACAGAAGGGTGAGCCACAGAAAACCTGTCTAGTTCATAGAAGCCGGGAAACAGAGCAGGGAACAGCTCCACAGAGAAATGGGCAGGGACCAAGGATGGTACTCACTTCTATCACCCACCTGGAAACACTTCATGTTCTGCTAATCTGCTAGTCATTTCTTAATCCAATGACACTGACATATCAGGATCAACATTCATGCTATACTTCATGATGTGAGATGATAAATTATCTATTTGGGGACATCTTGTTGAGGTCCACATGAATCATGCTAGAATCTTTGAAAAGCTAGTTGACTCCTTTTACCATCATGTATGCCAACCTAGGTTTGACACTTGAGAGGGCATGAACAATAAAATGCTAATAAAATTAAGTAGTTTGGAAAAAATGCCTTAAATAAAATCATTCTTAACTCTAATAAAAAGTCACTGGAAACTTGAAAAAAATAAACTATTGCTTATTTATAAATGATAAATTTATTTTATAATACTGTAGGAATTAACAGAAAATTTTGCAGGGGCTGTGCAAATAACTATGACCAATATGAGGTGAGAAAGTCACACGTAAGCACTGAACTGCAGATTCTTGCCACCCTCTGTCCCTGTACATGTACTTGTCACTTTAAGAAAAAATCAGTTTACTGTGTTTGGTGGTACTTGCCTTTAATCCCAGATACCTTGGAAACTAAGGCAGAAGGATCAAAGTTTGAGCCAAGTCTGTGATGTTTAGAAATTTAGCAAGACCCTATCTCAAAATAAAGGGTCTGAGAATTTAACTCTGTGCAAAGTCCTGGGTTCAAGTCACAGTGCCACAAAAAGTGGGGGGAAGAAATACAGTCCATGATGCGTAATTTTTGTGTCAACTCAATAAAGACATAAAGAGTCCAGATTAAAGTATCCAGGTTTGTATGACAGGGGGCAGGTAACTCAGTACACCAAACTAACCCCTCAGTTGGGCTGGAATTCACCCAACACATTGAAAGCCCAAATAGAATGAAACAAAGTTCAGAAAGGGGATGAATTTGCCCTATCTTTTCTTGCCTCACTGCTTGACCTGAAACACTTCACCTCATGCCCTGTCCTCAGACTGGGATGCACACCATCAGCTCTCCGCTGCTTAAGCCTTCCAGACTTGCTCTGACCACATCGTTCTGCTGGCTTCCTGAGCTTGTAGATGGCAAAGGTACATCATGGGACTCCTCAACCTTGATAATCACGTTGCTCAATTCCTCAAAATAAGTGTCATTTCATAAACATTAAGTCTATTGTTTATATCAATGAATCATGGATATAATATGCAAAGCTTTCTGTAAGAAATCTAAATAAATGAATTATATGTAATAATTTCCTTATGTAAATCTCTTATTGGTTATATTTCCCTAGAGAATCCCACTCTTCAACCTAAAAGAACATTGTGTTAAGACCACTAGTGATTGGGCCGGCCAGATAGTTCAGCAGATTAAAGCAGCTGCTTAGGCAGATGAAGGGACAGGGCTTCCATCTCCAGTGTGCTGTGCCGGCCCCGACCCCAGGATACACTGAGATGGCAATGAAACTGGGTGTGGTAGTCCACGCCTGTAATCCCAGTTCTTGGGAGGCTAAAAACAGGAGGATCCCTACGAGTCCAATCTACCTAGTGAGGCCCTATAGACCCTTCATTAAATACATTTAAAAAAACAACTAGTAAAACTTCAATTAAGGAACAGGTGGGCCAATCTTAAATTCAAAATCGGAAACCACACACACATACACATGAGTCAGTCACGTACCCGATACCCAGAGGTTTTTATTCTCAAAAAGCTATGCAGGGGCAGGATTTCCCAGGAGCCAGTTCCACACCTTATTCTCATTTCAAATTTGTCTAGTGAAGGTTTCTGCTTCCTCTCAGTTGTGTTAGGTCCTCTACCCTAAACCTCCACACTAGTTTCTCTGCCCCAGCGCAATAACAGAAGCAGGTAAGTGCTGACTGTGGGCCTCTTGCTAAATTTAAATGTTGCAATCTGCAATGTTTGTGTCTTCCCTCATGGCTCAACAAATAACATTTTCCAAACCCCTCCTTTTATCCCAGGACTTGGGCTTCCCCCACTTCCTTGCCACATTCCTGACATGTAGGATTAATGGAAGCAGTGATAATATCAATCCACATATCTTTTGGTGATTTAGCCTTCGTCAAGCAACCTGCTTCATCTCACAGAACCCCCTTCAACAACCCCATGAAGTTGCTGCTACTAAGAATGCCTCTTCCTGCAGCCTTGCTGCTTCACACCAGGGGGAGAAAACCCATAAATGTGACACATCAGCTATTCTGCACAGCCTTGCACAGGCCTTAGGAGTAGAAACCAATCGGTCCAGTGGGCATAGGTGAAGAAATGGGATCGTTCTTTCCCTTCATGGGAGAACCTTGTGCTCTGTCTTTCCAAGAAGACACCTGTCCTGGTAGCAAGGTCAGCTGTGAAGTTCACTTGTCCATATAGAGATGCCTCATTGTTTAATGTGCCCTATTCTTTAACAATAAGGAAAGTGACACATTGACCTCTGTCTCTCTTATTCTATTTCATTTCTGGTCAGCTTACAACCGATGTAATTTATGATGGTCTTACCCTTCCCAACCCTCACAGAGATGCAGTCACTATGAACCCTTTACCTATTTTATAGATGAAGAAACTAAGCCTTAGAAAGGTTAAGTAACTTGTCACATTCGGGCAACTAGTAAATGGTAGAGTCTGAAATTGAAATAGATCAAATGCAAACCCCATCTCATGTATTTAATCACACTATCTTCCTTCTCTGGTTCTTTGTCTCCTAACACTTCTGTCATGTCAAAGCCATAATATCCCAGGAAAAGGAAGAAAGAAGACATCAACCTATCATGAAATTCATTTTGCACCCTGGTATTGGTCTTGGATGGTTAGTTCCAGGACCTCTAAGAGGACTCTGGGCGTTGTTTGTGAAAAGGTTTCAGAGGGCTTCACTCTCATATTCGTAAATATTGCAATATAATACCTTCCTTCTAACTCATAATTACAGTATTGGGAAGAAAAGACACCCTGAAAATAGTAGGAAAGGCAACAGTAGATATATAACCAGCATCTGGTGAACTTGTTAGGCTAACACAATAGCTACTGAGGCAGCTGGCTTATTTGGTATACGTGCAATTCAACATATGTTCAGTGACTGGTGCTTCATAAATATTAAATCGCAACAAAGTGGGGAGGATTCTGGTTTATATTGGTGCTAGAGGGCATCCTAATTATTCACAAAGCTTTATTCAGCTTGCCTATTTGCTATATGTGCAGTACAAATGAAAGAGGTATTATTAAAGAACACACATTTTTAAAGCTTTATCAAATTCATCTTAGGAGCATATTGAGGCTTAGCTTTTCATACAAGTGGAAAGTCAGAGAAGGGGAATACCCTTCCTCCCCAGCCAGTGGGCATGCCACCCTTCTTCCCTTCCAACTAAGGCAGCAGACATCTGGGAGTGACTAAAATAGCAATGACTCCCAGCCCAGTCAAGGTTCTTGTAAGCTTCTGCATCAGTACACTCTGCTTTCCCTGTGCAAGCCCTCTCCCACCCCAAAGTCTGTGATAGAGAAATCATAGCCAGAGCCAAATTCCAAACTAGCACAGAAAATTCCTATCCAATTCTAGAGTTCTGTGCTCGCATACCATGTACTGAAACAAATTTCCCTTCTAATACTGCAGCTGGTCTAATCTGTGGTCTGTGACACATTTTTACAAGAAAAAGAATCCTTTATGATGTGGTCACTAGAAGTCAACTCCTGTGTTTATTTATCTAACACTGATGAAGAACTTAGTATTTGCTAAATATTGTATGTAGATAGAGGAGGAAGGTAGATTACAGAGATCCCCAAAGGGGTTCTGCATTCAAAACATCCACCTCATAAGTATTTTTCCTCCTGAAATTATATCAAAATTCCACCTTTTGTGGTTTCTTATGATGGCAAGCAAAGATTTATTGTTAAAGACAACACTGTAGTTCAGAATGGTGAACGAGTTCCATCATCCTTTGCAACTCTTTAAATTTGTAGTAACCAGCCATCCTTTGGTCATGGGGGAAAGCCTTTTGAGGGGATTGTAGGACCTCAATTTCTTCTTCCTCTTTTGCTTCCAGGCGATGAGGGAGCTTGGTGTAACACACACTTCCGGTTATTCCTCTCTGGCACCCTCACTAGATGCCCCAAAGCATCAGATCTTCCTTGTCTTGATCCGGACCCTAAGAAGCTGTGAGCTGAAGTAAGGTTTCCTCTTTATAAGATAGTTGTCTGCAGTATTTTCTCAGAGATGGAAAGTTAACTAATAGCCTGGCTGACCTCATTCTAATTCAGATGACATCATTTCTGCCAGTCTGATTCCTAGTGCATATTAGCCAGGATTCTTCTTTACTGCTTCAATACTGATAAGTTAGGCCTTCCTGGTCAGATAGTATCAGTAGGCATTCAACGAAGGTGTCAAAAATGTGGTGCTCTATAAAGCATAATCTGTGACCCTGAGAAACCACAGGACTAGCTGACCTTGCACATATCAAGCAATTCATGACTACTGTTAATTAAGGGACTTGATGAGTGGTGTGGTGTATGCTTATAAGTGACAGAAAGCTCTGTTTCCATGAGGCTGGAATGGAAGCTCAGCGATTCCCAGGTAAAAACAACCTTCCCACCTCCACAGGAGTTTTTCTCACCCCTTCCATTCAGCGGGCCCCTCTGCCACAAGAGGTCGTGCTTGCATCTATTTGTATAGTGTTCTATAAAGCTAGAGAATGGCTTCTCCATAGAATAGCTTCATTGTCACAACAACTTCTTAAAAGAAACAAATTCATGGCCTGATTACACTGCTTTAGGACTATCGCTATCTCTTCCCTAGGGCTGAAATGTATCTTTTCTTTGCTTCCTAATAGCTGCAGGGCATTTGGAAATCATAACTGTGAATGTTCAGGTAACATGGATGTCTCATCAATAGGGATATGATACACAGACACTGGATGCATCTTACGTGGGTATCTCCATGAGGTCACTGTGCAGTGTATCTAGTGTGAAATTCCAGCAAGACGAAATACTGAATCTGTCATTGGATTTGAAAAGCTGATTTCAAAATGGCAAATTTACTATAAAAGGTGAAAAGGGCCTCTAACTGCTTCTGTTCCTCCCTTTTAAGATAAATAGAGCATTAAATCATCAGTCCATGTTCCAGAACAGTCAGTGAGAATGCCGTGAGACATTATAACAGGAAAAGAAAATTTTTTGAGACAGGGTCTTGCTATGTAGTTCAGGTTGGCCTTGAAGTCACTGTGTAACCCATGCTGCTGGACTTGAACTCATGGTAACCCTGCTGTCTCAGCCTGGAAGTGCTGGGATTCCAGTCCTGTGTCACAATGCCCAGTTAAAAGGAAAATTATTGATGGAGTGCAGGAAATGGAAAAAAAAATGCTAAATTAGGCAGCTTTAAGTCCAAAGACCCTGACCTCCTTCCAAGAATCAACTTCCCTGTCTTTACATTGTCGGGCATAGAATAAAAGATGTTTAAAGGCATTTCCACCTTTAAAATTCTCATACCTTGTGAATTCTCATCATAAAAGTATAGCTGCCCTATAAAGAAGGATAAACTTGAGACACTTATAGGGAAATGAATGCAACTCAAGGTCATACTCAGAAGTGAAATAAACCAGATACACATGTGCAAACATCGCATTGTCTCTCTAGTGCAAGAAGTTGAAAGAGTGAACAAGATCCAAAATGTACATAATCCTTGCTTTAGGAAGCTCTCCACTTAGGACGTCACAGACAGTAAGCAAAACCTCTGTGAAATATAGGCACTAACAGGATGAAGAGCACAGACATCCAGGGTTTGTTTTGTTTTGTTTTATTTTGGGTTTTTTTTTTTTTTGTCTTTGTTCCACAGCTTAAATAAAAGTCTATTTTCATTTGCTAGTCTCCTAAAGTTCCTCGAATTATTAAGTGTCCAATCTGTGTCTTGTGCCTTTCTACCAATATGTTTCCAAATATCTTTAACTTAGCCACTATTTTAAAAAACAATGTGTGGAATTGTTATCATTGCCACAAACTTGAGAATGATAAAATGGTGATCTCAGATGGCTTTTCAACGGGCAGGAATAAACTTCTGGCATCATCAATGAGCAACGCTTATTTTAGCACTACAATCGCATCGTATCCGTTGACCATTACAATGTAGTAATATTCAGTATTATATAAAAATTAGAAGCTGATGTGTTTTAGTGTCTAATGTTTCAGATTATTTGCTGCTAACGTGGGGGTGAGAGCTTGGGTGATAGCAGTCTAAGTGCCTGCCTGGCAAGTGCAAGGACCCAGGTTCAATCCCAGGCACCGCATGCCATGCTACTGGGCTGGCCACTGAAACTGAGTGTGGTGGTGCGTCCCTATAATAATCCCAGCCCTGGGCAGGCTGAGATCAGGGGATCACTACAAGTCCAAGCTGCGTAGTGAGACCTGATACCAAATAAATAACTAAATAAAAGCTTTAAAAATTAAAAAAAAAAATGTGGGGGTGATTCTGAGAAGACTTGCTCATCAAGGAAGTTAATATGAAGTGGAAAACCAATTTCCTAAATATCCAACCCTTCCCAAGAACTGCATTTGCAAGTTCCCCTTGCTCTTTTCCAAGAGAAAGAATATTTGCCACAACTCTCTAAACTCTAGGCTCACCCTTCGAGTAGTCTGTATTTCCACTTAATCATATTATCATATTTCTAAACCTTATTCAAATACACACATATATTCTTTTCTTCTTTGAATAGTAAGCAGTGAGATCATTTTTAAAGACACTCAGCCAGCTCTGGGAGAAGAGGCCATGAGGACTCAGCATGACATGACATAAGGAAGCATCCACGGCCTGCCCTCGCATTGTGCGGAGACACTTACATTGAAGTCGTACAACACACCGAAGTTGGCTGCAGATGCCTCCTCTGCTCTCGGAACTGTTTTCCTGGGTAAACTGCCATACGGCAAACCCCAGAGGTACTACACAGGGAAGAAAAACAAAGAGCAGTTAGCAATTACAAACAAAATCTCAGCCACACAAGTGATCACAAATGGTCTTGATTGAAAGCCCTTCTCAAACTATTTCATGGGCACTCCGGGGCTCTCCATGTGGGGGAGCCATTCTCTGAAAATCTACTAAATCCAGAGTTGAGAACAAAGGGACAGCTAAGGGTCCTACATTCTGAGCTCATTTCACCAGCAAGGTTGGGTGGGGGCAACACAGTCATCCAGGGTCCCACTGAAATGCCCCACACCCGCCACCTCCACAGTGGCCTGACTCAGAGGAGTCCTGGAAAGCAGAGGGATGGCCTATAGAGAACTGCAGGGTGCAACATAACCGCACAACACATACTGTCACTGAGAATAGCATTTAGGGGTGGGGATTGAATGATAGGACCTCCCTGATATCAAGGATGAGAAGGCTCCTGAAAATTAATCGTGTAATTTGAGGATGTTACAGTAGGGAACGCTTGCACCCCTGGCTGTGGAATCTGCACCATCCCCAGTGCAGGGGTGCTACTCTGAATTCATGCTACTGTATGAGGCAAGATGCACTTTTGGGGATAACAGAGCTGGAGAGCAGTTGGCTAGCATAGGGGCAAGGAAAGATGTCTTGATGAGAACTGGGTAAAGCTTCTCTTCCACCGTGGCTTGCAGTGCAGAAGCTGCTTCTATTGTGAGATGGACTCTTCCCTCCTCTAGGTCTGTGGGAAGAAGCCAAATGCAGCTGGAACTCTCAGTGCACAGCTTGACTGGAAAGCAGCCTTCTCTCTGCACAAGACATGGTCGTATGCTGCACTCTTTCCATCCCTCTGCTTTCCTGGTCTGAACAGAACAGAAGGTGTCTTTATCCATACTTTGTCACCCCCAAAAGTGGGATTCACAGAGAACACCCGAAATTGAAGTCACACTTGTCCATGGGTCCTGAAGTTTGGGGTAAAAGGGCAGACTCCTCTGAAAATTGGTGAATTGAAGATTTGAGTAAAAGGAATCCAAAAAATATAGCCATATTGTCCAGAGATGCCCAGTCCTGACCTCTGCTGGTTCTGTAAAGTTAGCATACAAAGAGCACAGCTCCTGTTCTTGGGCAGGAAATAGCAGAGTTTGCCAAGAAAATAGGGTGCCTCTTGCCATTGGACCCAAGCTTAAGAAAAGGCAAGATGCTCCCTGCCTCAGAGTCTACCTCGACCCACATAGTCAATCCATCCACTGCACAGCTGTGAAATTTCACAGAAGTAGCAGCAGCCCTTCATTTCCTCGTGGCAGGTAGCGAGGCATGGCAGGGTAGCAGCGGCTGACCAACCTCCGTGGCTACCTGTATTCGACAAAGTAATGGAAGGCAGACTTTCTGGGTTTCTTCAGCGAGAATAGCAAAAGCAAGCCTGGATTAATTTGAAAAGGGTCAAATACACACATTCTGCTGCACTGCCCAAGAGGCTGCACTTGAGAGACAAAGTGTGCAGGCTTTCCAGTTCAGGTCCACTTCTTCTATGGTCCCAACTCCCTCACACACCCCCAATTAGGACACAGATTATGAGACAACTTGATTCAAGTAAAAAATCTTGGGGGCAAGGAGAAAAGCTAGGACCCATGACAGGGGCAAAGCCATACATTTATATGCACAAGATGGTTAAGGCAATGATCCGAAGGATCTTCAGCAGGTTTTTAAAACTAGCAGTTAATTGGTAGGATTCTCACCCTGACTAATTATATATGCTGATAGTTGTGAACTAAGCAACTGCATTGAGGATAGCAATGTATAATACTAGGGTCATGTTTGGAATGCCTGTCATTCTGGTCTTCTAAATACGTACTGTTTGTCATGACATGCCAATTCCCAACATACTGTCTCTCAAGTAAATGTTTGTTTTTTTTTTTAAAAGGGGAAAAAAGAAAAAAAAAAAAAAAAAAAAAAATGTCATAGGACTGTCCTGCTACAATGGAGAAAAAACATTCTCTCAGGCTTTCACAGGAAGCAAATTGGTCAAGCAATGGCCATGACTCATTCACATGGCTGACACCTACAAAGGATCTACAAACTGCAGTACAGTGTTTCAGGATAAATCCTGAGAGGATTTGACTAGCCTTGTCAGATACAAAAGTTACATTTCTTGTTATATAGATCTTGCTTTATGTTGGTCTTAACCATCCAACAGAAAAGTATAAAAAGTAAAGCCATATCAATATGCTGAGCTGTAAAAGGCTCAAGTCAACAACTAATGACATTGCCAATCCTATGGATAACCCACTGCTATTATGGACTACTGGACTATATTGGAATATTTTGCTGAATTCATGCACCTACAATATTTAAATGACAATGCAATACTCTTCTCTGACAAAATTAAACAAAAAAAGGGTATACAAATGAAGGACTATTTTGTGTCTGTATATTCAAAATAGTTAGGATAGATATACAACTACTTTTTTTTTTCTTTTTTCCAGAACTGGGGATTGAACTCAGGCTCTTTCTCTTGCCAAAAAAGCAATTTTCCACTGAGTCATCTCCTTGTCCCACAGCTGCTTTCTCTTAATTTAATGAATAGAAAGATTTGTACTACTAGTGTTTGTGGACAGGATATCATGTCTGCATCTTGTACTATATAAAACCACTGAGAAGATAACAATATACAGTGTATTAATTAGTGAAACTGTCCTACTAATCAATTTTGAAATTGTCTCATTGCTGTTTCTCCATAATTTTTTTTTTAAAAAAAAGAAAGGAGACTGTGTAAGATTGTATAATTTAGTGCAGACAATGCATCTAAAAGTGTTCCTAGGGGCTGGTGAGATGGCTCAGTGGTCTAAAGCACCTACTTAGAACGAGCTTAGCAAAGCACAGGGACTGTGGTTCGATCCTCCAGCACCACATGCTAGACAGCCCCGCCCCCAGGTGGGCTGAGCTGGCCACACACACACACACACACACACACACACACACATAAATAAATGTTAAAAAAAAAATTAAAAGTGTTCCTAGACTTAGTTCAATTGTCTTACATGTTCTTTGGCCTATTAACTTTGTTTTCAACATGTATGGCTAACAATTAACCCTGTAAGGTCTTACAAAGTAAATAAATAAATCCGATGTTAGAAAAATAAAAAGGTCGTGTGTGGAAGGAAGGAGTAGAAAAGGAATTGAAATGAGTTCTGCACATCTACCAATTCCCTATAGTGAATGTAATCGTTATATACTGCAAATACATACTAATAAAAGTTTAAAAAGGAAAAAAAATTAAAAATCTTGGAACAAGAATCACCGAGTCAGGTAACCACTGTAAGACTCGGCTTCCATGTGTTTTATATGAGGAAATGTCTTCCCTCTTGAGTCAGTTCTGAACCTCAATATGTAAAAGAAATGAAAGTGATTTGCACTATTAAAAGCTAATGTCTGCTTAGGATTGGAAGGCATTCTTATTATTCTAATAAGTTAGGTATAGAAAATATGCACTATAGCAACCATGTTAACATCCTAATACCTTATTGTGAAATTCTCTTTTTGTTTTTTACTTTTTATTCTCTTTTTAAAAAATTAGAAAAGAAAATATCATAGATTTAAAGCTATGCAAAGTCATTTAATCACCAAATTTTGGCTGTTGCCAATCCTGTATTGAATAAACTAGTTTTGAAACACCTGAACCTGAAAATGTCCTCTGGGTAAATGGTAGGGAAAATAGAATCTCTCCCACCTTTGTGCGGCAAGTGTCCACAGAGATCATTTAACTTCTTGGAGGCAAAGGCCCCCAACCCCAAGCTCATGTTTTGGCCTTGGCTGCCTCTTCTTCTACATTAGCTCAGGGCTTTGTCTCTTTCTTCAGTCTGGACCCTCTCACTGATTTACCTGCTGACATGCACCCTGAAAGACCACCTGCACCCCACAATGAGAATGCATGCATGTGTTGGAGAGCGGCATGAGGAACTTCCTTCATAGCTGGAAAAATGTCTTCATTTTATGTTTCCTCAGTTTAGAAGACCTGGGTGCTCACAGCTGCATTGTGAAGCAAATTTGGCAGATGAAATGCAACTGACAATCAGGACCTTGCTCCTGAGAAGTTGTTCTTAACATTGGACATGGGGTTCCCACTCCCTTGGGGCTCTGAGAGAGGCCATGAGCCTTCCCATAAAAAAAGCACACTGAACCAGACTTTCATTTTATAGATAATTTTATATCACTGTGTATACCCTTGGAGAAAGGATTAAGTCCTTCAGCCCAGGGATACCATCTAGAAAGTTAATTTTGTTACAAATCTTGACTCTAAAACAATGTGAACAGAACCAAACATTCTGCTCTTGAAAAACAGCCAAAAGTCTTCCTCGGAAGAATGGTCAGAGGAGCATCTTTTGTCATTTTTTCATGCAAAATGGGGGTCAGATCTCACCTCTGGCAACATGATTAGGCTAAATGTCAGGATGAAGAGAACCATATTCACTCCATACATCCACCTCAGGAAAAGGAAATACGAGGCCACGGATGAGCCAAACTGACCTATTACAAAGAAAACAAGAAAGTTAAAGGGAGGGACTAAAGCCATGCCAAACAAAAGCTCCATCCTTGTGGCCCTCCAAGATAAATATTGATGCTAAAACCCTGTGATTCTGTCTGTATCTGCAGGACTTAGCCTTCTTTCTCTAGGAAGAGCACGTGTTGGTCATGACAAAAGTGTCCTTGTAGTATAGAACACAGAAAGTACATACAGGGGCTGGCGAGATAGCTCAGTGGTCTACAGGGCCTGCTTAGCAAGTTCAATCCCTGGCTCCACATGCCACGCCAGCCCTTCCCCCAGGAAGGGCTAAGCTGGCCACAAAAAAAATAAAAAAGAAAGAAAGTATATAGAATGAAATTATATAGACTGTAACCCTGAGCCCTGGGCCCCCAGAGGGAATGCCCCCTTTTGCCCAGCAGCTATGATCACTCCCTAAAAAGCCTATTTTACTCTTGGAATTAATACAAGTAAGTGAAGAGATGTATATAAAACAACAGCTAGAGTGCTGGCTTACAGCTGGTTAAAACTACTGCAGATCTCTTCTATTTTCCTCAGGCATACCATGCCTTTCCCATAAGAGTTACCCATATCTGTTGTAGATGGTCTCTAACAGACCATCCTGGGTGGTTTCCCCTCAGAACTACATTTTTGAACACCATAGCATCTGAAGTTCACTCCTCATGTCTTTTTGCCAAATGTTTTCCGCCAGGAACTATCTGAGAGGAGAGCACAGTTATCTTAGCTGAAGTTCAATGATATATATATATATACACACACACATATATATA